TAATTTACCCGGGTATTAACCTCTTTACTCGGGTAGGATAAAATTTTCAAAAATACCCGGGTAGGGAGGGGGATACCCGGGTAGGCTGCATGGTCAACGGTCAAACAGGGATAGATTGGTGTTATGTTTTTTGGTAGGGTTAATTTTTCGAAATAGTTTCTAATCAAGGTCAATTCGGTAATTAATTATTAAATAAAGGCTACGGTGGTCAAAAAGCCCATTATTTAAACATTAACCCTAATCTTTCTTAATATCATAAATATCTTAACCCTAAATCTTATTTAGGTCTTTCATCCGTTTAAAATGCTTCAATCACATCATAAACTTGTTATCTAACAATTAAATGAATTACATTAAAACACAATGATGAACCCTTAGTTCATCAGGTTTTTAAGCATGAATTAATATCAATTTGTGTGATTAAATGGATGGAAAAGAGGTTAATGTCCTGGAAATCTCTCAAATACAAGTTCTGAAGCTTATGTTGAAAATTACATTGTTTTTGTAGGGAAATGAAGCTCAAGAAGCAAAAGAGAGAAGGAAGAAGATTCTGAAGAATGGGAAAATTCTAAGTGTTGGGCGCTAAAACGCCCAAAGTCAAGCGTTTTAGCGCCCTGCTGCAAAATGAAGCCAAAAAGTGCTGGTGCTGAGCGCTAAAACGGCCAAGTCCAGAGTTTTAGCGCTCTGATGTGCAAAAAGGTTCTGGTCGTGAGCGCTAAAATGCCCAAATCGAACATTTTAGCGCCCAAGACAGTTGAAAGCAGTTGGGCATCCGTCAAAGTTGGACGCTAAAACGCCCATAAGTGAACGTTTTAGCGCCCAAGTCAGTTTTCAGTTGTAATTTGTAAACTATAAAAGGACAAGGGGCCTTCATACTCAAAGATCAGATCCAATCCATCATATCTCATTCTGACTTTTCTCATCACACTAGGAGAAGGGAGATCAGATCAGGTCTTTCATAGATCTGATCTGACTCCTCATTTTCTCTGAATTTCCAAATTCTTAGGATTAGTTCTTGTAATAGTTAGTATTTCCTATGTAATTGCACTTGGAGATTGAAGACTCAACTATCATGTCAATGGAGTTTGATCTTTCTTCTCTTGTTTGTATTTCAATTATGTCTTAGGAGAGTCCTTTGTAGTCTGATTCAATGGAACTCAAGTTTGAATTTATGAATGGTTAATTAGATGTTTTGTTTATCTATTATGTGATTGTATGAAGTTGTCTTGATTAATTCTTCATGTTGAGGAATAGTGTAGAACATACATGTTTACATTGTTTCTCTATTTTTGACAACTTCATCATCAGTGTTTTAGTAGTCAAGGGATTGATGCTAGGATTCTGATGTGATCTTAAGACCTTAGTAATTAATGCATGTATTAAGAAAGGAACCACCAAGGGATTGGGGTTTCTGATTAATGTGTCTATCAGGGTAGTAAGGGATTACATCTTGAGATGATAAGAAAAAGGTTGATCAACATCACATAGTAGATAATTCATAATGGAAATTGGTTCATCTATAAATTCATGTTTGAGGGAAAATGACATCTGACTACTTGTTTACATTATAATTTACATTTTATTTATTTATCAAGTTTTAATTCAATTCAGTGTAGTTTCTGGTGACAAGAAATCTATGCAATCTATGAACTTTTGTTTGATTCAACTCAAGTACATATGGTTAGTCAGTGCTTGATACAAATCCTTGTGGGAACGATCTTTACTCATCATTTTATTACTTGTACGACTAGTACACTTACTAGATCCACAACACACAACATATAAACATGATTTAACATCATCTATGTTCGGCCATGTTTAAAAGAAAACCCTAAAATCATAACTTCAAAACTAACCGTTTAAACTTGAGCTTCTTGGCACCAATAAACTCTAAACAAATTAGAGATCATTCTCCAAGCTTCAAACCATGAAAACACTCGACTTTAGACCCATGAATAGTGCCTAGATCGTGGACTTCAAAAGGAGAAATCCAAGGATTGAAGGTTTCAAAGAAGAAACTAAAATCATAGAAAGATTCCTAAGGTTGTAAGGAAGATTTCTTGTGAAATAGTCAAGATGTTTTTGTGAGGTTTCTTATGAGAAATGAGCTCTCAAAGGTTTTCAATGGTGGCTGGTCATGGAAAGGAGAAAGAGGAAGAAAATTTCGTGGAAGATGAGTTAAGAAAGATGACAATTCAACTTATAAACATATAAAAGCTTTCTAGCCACTTTTGTTGTAGGTCAGCCAAGGAATGTTTTGAAGAGGAAAAATTGATTTGATTCATGAAAATATCTAAGTAACTTAACCATTAAGCTTACTTTGTTACCTAGTCATCGCTTTTACCTATAAGGCTTCTTATTAGTTGATTTTAGTTAGAACTTTGACTCAATTTTAATAATTAATCTAACTATAATTAGATTAATATAAGACCACCTTGAACCCATGAAATTTACTACACAATTTAATTATGCCATCTAATTCAAGTTTAGGCATAGTTTTGTCAAGTTTTAACTTACTTAAAATTATGATGAGTCTCCAATTTATTATGTATTAAGGGTTAATAAGAACATGAAATTGATTTAAAAATAATTAAAAGTTTTGAGAATTATAATTAAAGTGTTATTTTATACTCAATAATATTCTCATAAAAATTCTTTTATTTTGCAATAATTTTCAACTCAATAAATAGATAAATTGGAGAACTCAAGTATATTTGTTTTAGATTTCTGAATCATATAATTGAGTGAAGATATTATTAAAGATTCTCTTGAATATTTTTAAGAAAAGTTTTCCTTTAAATAAAAAAAGGAAGATTTTAAGGATTTGATTAAAGATATGATAGGAGATTCTAGTGAAGATTCCATTGAAGATCTTATGAAAAATTAAAGATATGGTTTCATCACTATAAAAAGGCAGCTCTTGGAAATCGAAAGAAGACGGGAACATTCAGAAAGAGAGGAGCTTTTGCTGGATATTAGAGAATTTCAGAGAGAGAGAAGACTTGAAGAATTGGGAACATTGATTTCTTTTCTTCTTCTTCTACATGACTTCTACTTCTTTTTATTTGTTTTATTGTTTTAGCCAGTGGTGGTGGCGGCGGCAGTGGTGGTGGCGGCGACAGTGGTGGTGGCGTAGTGGTGGTTGTGGTGGCGACGACAGTGGCTGCGAAGATAGTGGTGATGGTGACAGTTGTGGTAGTGGTGGCGATGGTGGTGGCATGGCAATGGCGTGGTGATGGTAGTGGCTGCGACTGTGGTAGTGGTGGTAGTGTCGTGGTGGTGGTGGTGGTGATAGCGATAGTGGTGGTGTGGCGTGGTGGCGGTGGCATGGGGATGGAAGTGATGGTGGTGGTGGTGGCGATGACGTGGTGATGGTGACGGCAGTGGCTACGATGATAATGGTGGTGATGATGATGGTACTGGTGGTGGTGACGGTGGCATGGTGGTGACTACGGCACTATTGGTATGGCGCCGATGGTAGCAGTGGTCGTGTCAGGATGGTGGTTGTTCTGGTGATGAACGATGGTAGTTGTGAAGAGTGATTGAGAGAGACTATTGTTTCTCATTTTGTGCTCGGAAACAAAAAAAAGAAAGAAATTTTTTGATTCTTTTTTTGTTTCTCAGAACAAAAATTAAATTCATCCCGGGAACAAAAAAAAATAAATTGTTTTTACCAAACGAGTTTTCTATCCATTTCTGTTTACGGGAACAAGAATTAAAAAAAAAATCCGGGAAGATTGTCATGCACACCCTTAATTGAGGGGGAGTTATTAACATTGCACTCTTTTTTTCTTTACTAGGTTTTTATCCACCTGGGTTTTTATTGAAGAGATTTTTAATGAGGTATATTCATAGTGAATAGTCATCTAAGGAGGAGTGTTGTAAAATATATAGTTTAATATGAGGATGACTCATTAGTTGCCAATGTCTTTTGGTGTATTATTTAACTGCAACATCAGTAGTGTATTCAATGTATTTATTCTTTCATTATGTTCAAAGTGCTATATAAAGACATGACTCTTGTTAGAATGTAAATGATCGGTGAATAAAAAGATTCTTGCATCCTACTCTCTCTTCTTTTTCTATTTCCCTCAAATCTTTTCCTATAGTTTTATAGCAAATACTATTTTTTGTTTCATTTTTAGTTTATTTAGTTTTTGGATTTTTTTTTTCTTTCGATTTTTGCGGTTTGCATCGATTTGGATTATTTCCAGAGAATAAAGCAGTCCCAAGAATGAACAATAGAGGTTGAGGGAACTTTTACGCTTATTCATTAAAATAATATAATTTTAAAAATTATTTATCAATCCATTATAATTTGAAAACTATTATATTCGATGGATTAAGTTTATATGTTAAAATAATAATGGATTAAGTTTATATTTTAAAGTACGTCAATCAAATAATATCATTAGAAAATTGATTAAATGTAATTACATAACTTTATCACCCGCAGAAATAATTATTTAATTGTGTAAAGAATTAATTCAACCCAAAATTTTAAGGTGTTGGATGAGAGTTTTTTTAATGGTTTATATTATTCTCTAACATATCCCCTCACGCAAGAACCCTTTGCACTTGAAGCATGAATATTGCACAAGCCCAATTTTTGATTTACTTTTTACTTATTTAATTCCATTAGAAAGTGGAAAGGGAGGTGGAGATCGAATCCCTGACTTATGACTTTCATATCATGTAAATAATCAATTCAATTCAGAATCTTAAGGTGTTATGAGGATTTTTTTAATAGTTTATATTATTGACTAGTTTTCAACTTAGGCTTTAATTATTCAGATGAAATCCTTCTTGGTGGTCCATGCGATCGAAGGAGTACGTAATATTTGATCTTCCTTGTCCTCCCATGTTTGTATTATTGCTATCAATAACATGGTCTCATTTTCAACTGCAATTTTGATTAGCACTAGATACTTATTAGCAAAACAAACATTTCGTACACATTACAAAGAAAAAACAAATACAAACACAGGAACACACCCACGATCAACATTTCATGCTAATTTTACACACAAGAAGGAGAGAAGGGGGATTTTTCTTTTTACAGTGTTTTGATGCATAGATGACCTAAAACAATAATAGATCCTCCCATGTGAGACACGAGAGGTCGTGTGAAACAATCTGATGGATAGATGGTGAGAAAATAATAACCATTAATTTATTTAAAACGGTTGAGATCGTTTCAGTTGACCATCTCACATGTGAGGATGCATTTTCAACCTAAATCAACTCAAATCATAGTGATGCAAAAGGAAGGAGCCTAGCCACAGGGATGCATAGAAGGGGATGTGCCCTTGGAAGGGCCATTCCAGGTCCCTCCTCCAAGTCAACTATTCCATTCCCTTCACCAACCTTCCATTCAAAACACTGAATCATACTAGCCAAAGTTGTGGGAATAATTTGCAAAGCTAGTGAAGCACCAGGGCAACTTCTTCTTCCAGCCCCAAATGACAAAAGTTCAAAATTCTGGCCCTTCAGATCCAAAGGGCTCAACCCCTCTTTATCAATGAACCTCTCTGGTTGGAACACAAGTGGGTTTTTCCAATAGTTTGGGTCCCTACCAATAGCCCAAACATTTACAAACACAGTAGTCCTTGCTGGAATGTAGTACCCATTAACATTACAATCTTCAGTTGATTGCCTCACTATTAAGGGTCCAGTGGGGTGAAGCCTCATTGTTTCCTTAATTATTGATTGAACATAGGGAAGGTTTGGAATATCTGATTCCTCCACCAATCTTCTCTTATCAACTACTGAATCAATCTCTTGCCTTGCTTTTCCCATCATTTCTGGATGGTTTATTAACTCAGCCAAAGCCCATTCTATTGTATAAGCTGATGTTTCAGTTCCAGCACCAAACATGTTCTACAAAATTACATGACCAAAAACTTAATTAGTTTCCTTTTTCCTCAAAAACATCAACAACAAAAAAATTTGACTAGTATGGAAAGAATCATGCATAAACTATTATAGAAAAAATAGTGCATGATAGGGATGTGATATTATGCTTACTTTTTTAATGTCTACTTTATCTACTTTTTTCCAATACAGTTACATTATAATCTCAAGTAATTTTCATATTTTCTCTCTCCTCCATGTTCGTTAAGATTGTGATTTAAAGATAAGAAATATCTAAAGTAAGCATGAAAAAAATTAAACATGCAGAGCGGAATTGTTAATTACCATAATGAATGCCTTGATATTTTCTCTTGTTAATCTAATCTCAGAATTTTCATCAGAATAGATATCAAGTAAAATATCAAGTAAATCCCTCACTGCTTCATCTCCATTACTACCAATTTCCTCTTCCTTCTTCTTTTTTCTCTTTGCATCTTCATGTTCCTTCATGATCCTCTCCATTATAGCATCATACCTACTTCTAACACTCTCAAGCCTTTTACCAAACCCTTGCAAATCCAACTTCTTAACAAACCACAACATATCTCCCAAGTTGAACTTCCCACCAAGTTCAGTCATCTCTTTGACCAACTCAATCAACTTGTTCCCTTCTCCTTCAACATCAGAACACCTTCTTCTCAAAGCCATCCTTGTGATTATGTTATTTGCAAGCATTGATAACTCCTTCCCTACATTCACCTCTTCTCTCAATTCAGCTTTTTTCATCATACTCTTCAAGAAAAGCTTTGTTTCTTCACTCCTAATAGGAAGGTGCTGGTGAAGTATGCGACCTCCAAGAAGTTCAGTCATGCAAAGCTTTTTCATGAACCTCCAATAAGGTCCATAGGGTGCCAATACAAAATCTGAAGAACCATATGTGATGTAGTCTACGTTGGTTCTTTTTGGTCGGTTTAAGAAACAAGTTTCATGGGTTTTGAGGCATTGTCTTGCTATCTCTGGCGAGGAAACAAGAACACATGGTTTGGAACCAAACAAGAGATAAACCAAAGGGCCATAACGTGTTGAGATATTGTGAAATGCTTGGTGAGGGAGCTTGGTGAGGAGGTAGAGGTGGCCGAGGACCGGAAGAGCACGAGGACTTGGTGGAAGACGTGATTTAATGCGAGACTTGGTTAAGATCAATCGTAATAAGAAGATTGACACTAGCCAAATGAGAAGTAGCACAAAATAGTGACCAAAATCAGCCATTAATGTTGAAATTTTTTTGTTAACTATGAACAACAAAACTAAACTTCCAACTATTCTTATATGGGTGGCCAACTTGCTTTACATTTTATTTTATTTTTAAATATTTTATGATATGATACTGCTAGCTATATACATTAATTAATAATAATTTTCAGACCCAAAAAATGTTGATCCAGTGTCAATCTAGTTAGACTTTAAGATTTGACCTTTTCAAAAGATACTTGGTTCGATTCACGAGAATCGCAACTTTGAAAGATTAGATAAGTTCAAACATAAAATCAGATTAATTAGTGGGGCAGTTAAGTTTTGGACAGCAGTTGATGCCTACCAAAAAAAATATTAATTTTAGGTATATTTGATAGCCAAAAAAAAAAAATCTTAATCAAAAGAGATAACTACATTAACCTCTCAAGAATTTCGTGTTAATTATACTAACACCCTTCTTGTTTAAAAAATTATATCTACCTCTCGTACTATACTTTATGTAGTGTTTTTTTTTTTTTTTTTTTTGGTATCTACTTTATGTAGTGTTATTATTCATGATATAATGAACCACAGACAAATTTAGTTTTTTTTTTCCACCGGTAAATAAATTATTTGATTAATCCGGTTTGAGTAAAGGAAATAAATATATCCCTACTAAAAAGTAAGTTTCTCTAAAAATAACAAAACAAAAGTAAAAAGATACAAGTGTAATTAGTATAGCTTTAGGACTTAGGAGCAGTTAGCGTAATTGTTACTAAAAATTAGAACCAATTTCTTTATGAAATTGCGTGATCCTGTAATAAAGTCGAACCGGATTGCTTTACCTATAAGTTATCAAGTAATTATTGAAGCACAACCAGATAACATGTTTGTTAAGTAAGTTTTCAGAGAAATTTGTATAACATAGAATTCGAGAGGTTGATAAATTATTTCATAAATCAAACCCCAATTAACTGCAATAAGATTGAGTTATTTAATTAATAAACATAATATAAACCAACTTGTCTTAAAAAATTGTGGTCCGTACCTTTTAGATCTTTTCCTTTATTCTTTTTTTTTTTTCCCGTTATTGGTTTCTTTCCTAGCTACGTACTAGTGGTCCTTAAGTAGTTTGTCTTCTTGGTTTCCTTCCTAGTTCCTACGTGCTTGTGGTCCTTAAATAGTTTGTCTTTTGGTTTCTTTCTTTTTTTGTAGATTTTTTTTTTTGTTGAAAAATCTTTTGGTTTCTTTCGTTCGTTCATGTGGTCCTTTCTGTCTGCAACTGCAATAGTATTTTTGGTTAATAAAACTAATATGTTGCAGAAATTATCATTATGATAGTCGTCTGAATATTGAATAATATTTTTTTAAATTTCAAATGATGAATAGTTTCAATCAAATTGAGTAGAAAACATTATAAAAGTCATTACACGTAATCATTATTAAAATCAATCATATAATTATAAAAATGCTTTATGTCTCTTCTTTTATAGGAGAGACTTCCATTTTCCTGCGGAGAGGACAAAATGGTGGGCCCACCATTTTTTTAGAAAACATAAGACAAGGCATGAAGTTTGAAGGGTCAATAAAAGAAAAATATTTTCTCCTATTGAGAAAATTTAATCCCATTGTAAAAAGAAAAATATTGTTTTATTAACCGGAGTCCATGTGATTGAGCCCAAGACGTCAAGTGAGGCATGAGCGAGCAAGGTTTAATCCTACACTTAAAAGAAATGTACATACATATTAATCTTATGGTATATTGCATATTAGCAATCACTATTATTTCTTTAATGATGACAACATAATACATGTAAGGAGGGTACAATAATAGGTAATATTCTACAGAAACTATTTTTGTTTTTTAAGGTTATATATATATATGTGTGTGTCTCTATTGTTTTTAATACATACTCATCCATCTACTTGGTCCCGGGACTAAGAAATCCTCGTTGATGTGCTTTTGTATTATTTATATATTAAATCATAGTCTTTGGTATATTTCAAATTTATTGAGAATTTTGTAATGTAGAGATTTCCTTTGTACGAATAATTATTTGTTACGTTGCATCACCTGGAAATATTATTGTATGAATAATGAGAACCAAATCTTCTACTCCATTTGTCCTCTTTCATTTGTAAATCGATTAACTATGTAATCTCAATCTTCAACTTGGCCTTTTGTGGGGCTTATTCCTTATCTTTGCCTTAGGGAGATCAATCCAAGACCGTTTACATGCTGATGGGAGCGCACTCACGCTTAATTTGTAACCAAAATTTTGTACATTAGCAAGTTAGAGAGAGAAACCAACACTAGGCTCAGCAACGGGACATTATAGTCACGTTAAATTTTGTTTTAAATAGACTAGGTTTATGCATGATGTTTTTGTTAGTATATAGGTGTCCTATAGACAATCTGCAAGTCAGATGGATCCATGTACTTTTTTATTGTTATAAATAAAAGTATTTTTATCTTATTTCATATTACATGTCTCAAATATTGAATATGAGCAACTGGATAAAGCCCTTGGAATGAAACGAGTGTTACATTGAGAATTTGTGATAGGGATTACGATCACGAGGGCTCAATGACACCACACGTCCATTGTCAGAAATATGTTCCTAGTTTAGAGATATCAAGAATGGGCATTGGTGATCTCGAGTAAGACTAGCACAACTCAGCTACTTGCATAGAGATGCAAGGTAGAGTCCTCGTGAGCTACAGATATGCATGCTTTAACAGGTATAAGTGTTAAAAGAGCAACCTTTGAGTGATATCTTCGCGAAAATGCAGAACTGCATTCTGTCGTGAAATATTCGGATATGATATCCGGATATGGCCCCGACATATATCGGGATATTCTGGGAATTTCGAAAAGCCCACCATTCCCAGATTTAAAGAATTGCTATCCCCAGCAATAGTCAAACCAAAAGATGGATAATAAACCTGCACTATGGGAAAAATTGTGGCATATAGGATAACTATAATGCACACAATAAAGCATCAGAGTGTTTGGGAAATATACCAACTTAAAATAGCAAAGTACTAAAAAGAAAAATAAACTAATATACACTAAATCTCCGTCAGCAAGGAGATTTAATCAATCCTCCATGTCATCCCCATCAACAGCATGGGATGACTCAGCAAATGGAGGATCTGGTAGTTCTAGATGCATCAGTGGATGAGACCACCATTCCCAGATTTGATTCCAACCGTGAATCCATGTGAGGAACTCTTTGAAGTATTGTTTCCTTTGAGAGACAGAGTCTCGGTGCCTCTTCTCACAGATTCTCCTTTTGGCAGCCTTCATCCTCCGGTGATCCGCACACATCCTCCAACCAGTATTAAAGAGTGTCACCACTTCCTTTCTCATTACCTTCTTCATTGTAAGATGATGCCTCCCTTGAGGTTTCCTCACATTTTTGTCTCATCCTTATTAAGAATTTTGTGGGTACGAGAAGAGGGATCTTTATCTTTCAAATCAGAAATAGACCACCCTATGGTAGTCCCATGTTCCTTCAATACTTCAATCACCGCCTCCTTATTACCCAAGAAGGTATATTGCAGAGTTTCAGGAAGCTCCTTCAACTCTATTTTTGGGGCATCATCTTCTTTGTCAGAATCTTTCTTTTCCTCAAGAACTTCAAACGCTACATTCTTTCCTTCCTTAACAGGAACACTCTTATGCGCCTCAAGTTCTTCATCAATCTCTTGACTAGAAGATTTTTCTTCTTTCCCCACTTGCTCTAAAACACCAAGTTTAAAACAATCGTCTTTGTTAGAATATTGTTTCATAGAGTCAAAGACGTTGATGGTAATTGTCTCATCATTCATCCTTAACTCAAGCTTTCCATTTTCAACATCAATCATGGCCCGAGCAGTGGCCAAGAAAGGTCTACCCAACAAAAGAGGCATCTCAGTTCCCCCTTCCATGTCCAACACTACAAAATCTACCGGAAAGATGAACTTGTCCACTTTCACAAGAACATCTTCAATTATACCACTAGGTTTCCTTAAAGATTTGTCAGCGAGTTGCAAGGAAAACATAGTAGGTTTAAGCTCAGATATGCCCAACGATTTATACACGGACAAGGGCATCAGATTTATACTTGCCTCAAGATCACACAAGGCTTTGCCGACATCAGTATTACCAATAGCAATTGGAATGTTGAAGCTCCCTGGATCATGACGCTTAGGCGGGAACTTCTTTGTAATAATAGCACTACACTCCTCAGTGAATGTCACCGTTTGGCATTCCTACAACTTGTGTTTTCTTGACAAAAGGTCCTTCATAAACTTGGCATAATTGGGCATATTAGCCAAGGCTTCAGCAAATGGAATATTAATGTGGAGTTTTCTGAATATATCCAGGAACCTTTCATAATGTTGCTTCTGAGCATCTTTCTTGAATCTTTCCGGATAAGGTGTCATGGCTCTCATGTATTAGGTTTCAACTCATGCTTCTCTTTTGCTTTTGCTTTTTCAGCTGGCTTCACCACTTCAGCAGGTTTCTTAATTTCTTTCTCAGGCTTGCCTGTAGGATCCAGCTTCTCTTCAACCTCTGGTGATGGAAGTACTTTACCACTTCTGGTTGTGATGACCATACAATCTTCCCTCAGATTAGTAATTGTGTTACTAGGGAAGGTACCTAGAGTTCTATCAGCAATTTGCTTAGCCAGTTGGCCAATCTGATTCTCCAAATTTCTGATAGATTCATTTGTATTTTTGGTATTGACCCTAGTCTCCTCCATGAAAGCACTAGAATGTTGAGCCATTTGTCCAACTAACCTCTCCAAATCAGAAGGTTCCTTGGCTTGGATTGGTGGAGGTTGCAAGTAGTTGTTTGAATTGAAATCAAGACCTGTGCCTTGAATCTTCCGTTGATAATTACTACCTCCAGCAGCAAAATTTTGACCTCTTTGAACATTTTGCTGCTAAGGTCTCTGATCATACCAAATGTCATTCACTTGCTGAGTTCTTTGCTGATTTCTTCTCAATGGAGAGATACAACCAGATGGTGAATGATATCACCAAT